GCCTCCAGCTGCAGGTCTTGACAGATGAATGCAGCAAGCTTCGGCAGCAAGTTCAGGTAGGCTTACCAGCAGTGCATCCTTCCAGGCTTTCCAACTACCCTCTATCTCCTTCCCAAAAAAGTATCCTGCTTAATTTCCTGTAGAATTAGTAAATCAAAAGGTAAGTTCAGTTTTGGACACCCCTCTGTCCTCAATATAAGACAAGTTGGATTTGAACTGGATTCAACTGGATAAGTTGGGACTAGTCTATTGACTCTAACCCAAGCATGAGCCAACTTGGGCCCTCCGGGTGGCTGTTAGGAATTGTGGGAGTTGAAGTCCAAAACACCCAGAGGGCCCAAGTTGGCCCATGCCTGATCTAAGATGCAGTTCCCAGATGTTGCCTTGTAATCCACTCTAATGTGAACTTGTGGCTGAACTGAGCAGTTAAGTGGCTCGCACATCTTCTATTTCCGTGTAGCCAGAATCCTCCCTCCCGTATCTGCAGCATTCAACACACAAAAGTGCTGGTGTTAACCTATAAAGTCCTAAATGACTCCGGCCCGGTTTACCTCTCCAAACGTATTCTCCCCTACGAACCATCAAGATTACTAAGATCGTCTGGAGGGGCCCTGCTCTCGGTCCCGCTGGCCTCACAAGCGCGGCTGGTGGGGACGAGGGACAGGGCCTTCTCGGTAGTGGCCCTGCGACTCTGGAACTCTCTCCCGCCAGAGGTTAGAACCGCCCCAACAATCCTGACATTCAGGAAACAGGTGAAGTCGTGGTTATGGAGACAGGCTTTCGAAGAATGAGACAATGATCTGGATGGAAGACGGTGTATATTCGATTTTAGTATGACGACTGACCACTGTAGTTTTAAATATATGTGCTTTTTTAAATGTTTTATTGTAATGTGTATTTTGATATTTTACCGATTGTATGTGTTTTTATGGTTGGAAACCGGGCTGAGTCCCTCTTATGAGGTGAGAAGCTCGGTATATAAAACTTTGAAATAAATAAATAATAAATAAATAAATAAAATGACAAACGAAACCGTGCTAGTTGTGTAGCTGTATCTGTTGCACTCCAGGCCAGGAAAACCCTCTGACTTTAAACACCACACAGCTGAGAAAAAATGCAAGCCATTTATTGAAGATATTTTAAAAGCAGTAGCAATAAAAAGCAATCCATAAAAATAGGTAAATCCAATTAGGTAGAAAGATAAGCAGAAACAAATAGTCCAGGAAATTAGTCCATCAGAATTCATGAATTTCCAAAAAGTCCAGGAAATTATTCCATCAGAGTTCAGAGTCCATACCTCATGAAGCCTGACTTGACCATAGTGGTCCATGCCTTAGTTACCTCTAGACTGGACTATTGCAATGCTCTCTATGTGGGGCTACCCTTGAAGACGGCTCAGAAATTACAACTTGTCCAATGGTCGGCAGCCAGATTAATAACTGGGGCAAATTACAGAGAGTGGTCAACCCTCCTTTTTAAGGAGCTCCATTGGCTGCCGTTCATCTTCCGGTCCCAATTCAAGGTACAGGTTCTTACCTATAAAGCCCTAAATGGTTTGGGACCCGCCTACCTTCATGACCGCATCTCTCTCCATGAACCAGCCCGTACCCTTCGATCTTCGGGCGAGGCCCTCCTTTCGCCCTTGCCAGTCTCTCAGACTCGCCTTGTGGGTACAAGGGAGAGAGCCTTCTCCTCTGTGGCCCCCCGACTCTGGAATTCACTGCCCGGAGAGATTAGGAAAGCCCCTACCTTGGAAACCTTTAAAAAGAGTCTTAAGACCTGGCTCTGCTGTTGCGCTTTCGGAGAGTAGCCACATAATTTTATGCTAGTGCTCCTCCAACGTTTTTGTCCCAGGAGCCCCCCCCCCCTCCACGTACGAAGGTTTGTTTATTTTCCTATCTCTCTCTGAGTTCTCCCTTACAATTAGTTCTCCCCCCTTATCTCACCCTGTGTTTTTAAATCATTTTATGTACATGCGGCCCGCCCTTTGTTTTTCTGTCATTATGCTTAGTTCCTATGTTCTGTGTATATTGTTTTATATGCTTTGATGTTTTATATCTTAATGTTATGTTGTTTATTTTATTGCAATTTGTATTGTTATATTGTATTCTTGTTCAGGCTTGGCCCCATGTAAGCCCTTTGGGGAGATGGTGGCGGGGTACAAATAAAGTTTATTATTATTATTATGAAAACTAATACTGAAACTGTTGCTACTAGGGGTTTGCAGTGGGCTTTTTCTAAATCTTAGAAAGGATCAGAGTGTTTTTTTCTTGCAGCTGTTATGGGTTAATTGAGAATGATATTAGTTCCTGTATATAGTAATGTACTAAGTGTTTGGAAACTTTGAGCATTGCGTTCTAAGAGCCGTCGCAAACTCTGTTCCTGCGGGAGCAAACCTTGATTGATTCTCCGCACTCGCATGTCGTGGATTCCACTTTGTAGCCCCATTTCTTAAGGTTGGCTCTGCATCTCATGGTACCAGAGTGCAGTCTGTTCAGCGCCTTCCAAGTCACCCAGTTTTCTGTGTGCCCAGGAGGGAGTCTCTCATTTGGTATCAGCCATTGATTGAGGTTCTGGGTTTGAGCCTGCCACTTTTGGACTCTCGCTTGCTGACGTGTTCCAGCGCCTCTCGCCCCGCTCCTTTCTCCGCCCCTTTCTCTTTGCCAGCGTGGTTTTTCCTTTGCTAGGGCAGCATTGCCCGCATTTTCTCTCAGTTGAATTCTGCCCTAGCAAAGGAAAAACCACTCTCGCAAGGAGAAAGAGGCGGAGAAAGGGGCGGGGCGAGAGGCGGAGTCTCATGACGTCAGGGACATGCTAGCAAGGTTTGCTCCCGCAGGAACAGAGTTTGCGACGGGTCTAAGCTTTGCTTGAGGGCTTGAGCTGAAAAGCCTTTGTTTGGTGCCAGGAGCAGTCCTGCAGCGTCCTGAAGATAAAGTTTGTTTACGGCAAGACAAGATTACTCTACAGACAACTAAGTAAAAGAGACTGTATATTATTCTGTTACAAGTCTGCATATCGCTATTGAATGAAGAGGACTCACCGAAGATACTGTTTTTGTTATGTTTTGGTGAGAGCAATTCTTCTGTCTTGTTTTGTATACAGTGAATAGAACTTCATTTCATTTCTACTTAAAGCGAAAGACTCATGTGTTTTTTATGAGTTATTTTTTATCACGCTTAGAGTTAAAAAGGGCTTAGTCATTATGAGGGCTACTAACGCTAACGCTGACAGAAACTTCCAAGGTAAAACCCCAAAACTTGAATCATGAGACTAGGACGCGAAACAATGGCTTCAAACTACAAGAGAGGAGATTCCATCTGAACATGAGGAAGAACTTCCTGACTGTGAGAGCCGTTCAGCAGTGGAACTCTCTGCCCGGGAGTGTGGAGGAGACTCCTTCTTTGGAAGCTTTTAAACAGAGGTTGGATGGCCATCTGTCAGGGGTGATTTGAATGCAATATTCCTGCTTCTTGGCAGGGGGTTGGACTGGATGTCCCATGAGGTCTCTTCCAACTCTTTGATTCTATGATTCTATGAATAAAACAAGGCACTTAGCGCATGAATCTATCCAAGGCAAGACTACCTGGGACCTGGGAAGAAATCTTGACTCAATTCCAACGTTGCTTCGTCTAGCTACAGATTCTGTACTTGGCACTTTTATCCCCTCATCTATTCTATATCCCAAGCGGCCAGCAACAGATTTCATTTCAGCCTTGACTCTGTTATCAATCTCTCTCTCAGTCTGGCAGAGTGAGTGCCTTTGCTGCCTTTTCCTCACCTCTGGTTGTCCCATTTTGCAGGAACTGAAAACCCTGATGGCGCGGCACAACACGCCTTCCTCTCAGCAGCAGCCCAGCCACTCTCGCTCTTGCTTCCCCGGTTGCCTTTCCTCCAGCCAGGGCCAGCACAAGTACCATTTTGAGAGAGCCTTCCTGGTGTCTCAGGTGGGCAACTGCCGGGTCATGGCGTACTGTGACCCGCTGAGCTGCCTGGTGATATCGCAGCCTTCGCCCCAGAGCACCCTCATTCCTGGTGAGTTACACACCGTGGCAGGCCCTTTGCTTTTAGCATTATTTTACCTGCTCAGTTCAAGTAGGGGGATAAACCCTGAATAGCTGGAGTGCAGCAGCTTTAGGGAATGTCTTCTGTGGTTCCTTTGCTTCGCACCCCAGGCTGCGGGATCAAGATGATGAGCGCCGTCAACTTGAAGAGCAGCCAGTACGTCCCCATTCACAGCAAGCAGATCCGGGGTTTGGCCTTCAGCAACCGAGCAGATGGCTTGCTCCTGTCTGCTGCCTTGGACCACACCCTCAAACTTACAAGGCAAGTGCAGAGAAGGAGGGAGAAGTTGCCTCTTCCTCCCACCCTCCGTAGCCTAGGAAGTGGCAATAAGGCCTTGATTGGAATGAACTCCTGTCTATTTATTTATTTATTTACGACATTTATATGCCACCCTTCTCACGCCGGAGTGGACTCAGAGTGGCTTACAAGATAGATAGATAGATAGATAGATAGATAGATAGATAGATAGATAGATAAAAATAAAAATGTAATGTTTGTTTGTGGGATTAACATAACTCAAAAACCACTGGACGAATTGGCACCAAATTTGGACACAATCCACCTATCACACCAACAAGTGATCATCACCCATAAAAACACTGAAAAACACAGCAGAAGAGACTTAAAAAGCCAAAAAACAAAAAATGCATTACAACGCATGTGCAAAACCACATATGTACACAAACACACATATATAGACATATACACAAATATATGCAAAAATATATACACACATATATGCACACACAAAACACATATACACAGAAAGGGAAAAGGAAGGAAGGAGGGAAGGAAAGCGAGAAAGAAGGAGAGAAGGGAAGAAAGGTAGAGAAGGAAGGAAGGAGAGAAAGAAATAAAAAAGTGAAAGAAGGAAGGAAAGAGAGAGGGAAGGAAGGAGAGAAGGAATGAAAGAGAGAAAGAGGGAGGAAAGGAAGGAATGAGACAAGGAAGGATGGGACCAAAGAGCAAAGGAAGTGAGGAAAGAAACAGATAGAGAAGGAAGAAAGAAGAAGGGAAAGAAAAAGAGGGAAGGAAGGAAGGAAGGAAGGAAGGAAGGAAGGAAGGAAGGAAGGAAGGAAGGAAAGAAAGAAAGAAAGAAAGAAAGAAAGAAAGAAGGAAAGAAGGAGAGAAAGAGGGAGGGAAGGTTGGCCACAGCAACGCGTGACAGGTACAGATAGTATGTGTATGTGTGTATGTGTGTGTGTGTGTGTATATATATATATATATACACACACACATGCGTACAATATATATTATTAGCATAGTACAATATCAATATTAAATATTACTGTATTGTACTATACTATTATATTGTAATATTATTAGTAATTATAAAAGTAATATAATTATAAAATTATAATATATTGTTATTAGTAGTAATATATTGCATTACATTATATTATAAATATTATATATATTATATTATATTATATTATATTAGAATAGCACAGCAGACAAGATAGAACTGTCCCCTGGTCCCCTTTCCCTTCACTCTGGCCCAGAGCAACAGTTGGTGCTCGGGGGGAGGGTCCCCAACTGATGACATATGCAGGAGACAAGATGGAACTGTCCCCTGGCCCCCTCTCTCTTCACTCTGGCCCAGAGAGGCAGTTGGTGCTGCGGGGAGGGGTCCCCAGCTGATAGCATACAGTCTACAGTCTGAGCTCTGCTTTTTGGCCCACTTCACCCAGGAACCTCTGGGTGATGGGCCAAAGGGAAGACTGCCAAAAGATAATGTTGCTTCGCCCTTCTTCCCTCAGCTTGACAACCAACACAGTGGTGCAGACGTATAATGCTGGACGCCCCATCTGGAGCTGCTGCTGGTGCCTTGATGACACCAACTACATCTATGCAGGACTGGTCAATGGTTCTGTCTTGGTGTATGATTTGCGGGACACACGGTCTCAGGTCCAGGAACTTGCTCCACAGAAGTCCAGGTAAAGCTGTAGCTTTGTAAGATGAAACTGTGTCAAACTGAGGACATGGGATGTACAGTGCAGCGTATCACCCGTATACAGTGGAACCTTGATTTAAGTGTGTCCCAATTTAAGAGCATTTTTTTAATTTACATGAAAGGACAATATTTATTTTAAACAGAGCTCAGTGGGTAATCATGATATCCGAGTGCATCCAGAAAGGGAGGGAAAGGGAGAGGTGGGTCGTCGGATGTGGACTCAACCAGCGGTACTCCCACACTTTTACTGTTTGATCTACACTGCCAGTGACCACATAGGGGGCTGTCTTGTGGAAATCCAACGAGGTAACAAAGTGTTTGTGCGCATTGAGAGTCTTCATGCATCTCTTTTTCTTGTAGTCCTAGACATGCAAGGTCTTGTCATCGGCACAGCTCAAAATAAATTTCCCTCCAGACTGGAAGAGGACGCCACGTACCCAGTTATCATGGCCCACCAGAGTCATAAGGCACATGCTAGTACTAATGTCCCACATCTTGATGGTCTTGTCTCTAGATCCAGAAAGCAGGAAAGGCCCAGGCTTACCACTCTTCTTAGTCTCCAATCCCGTAGCTTCCGATATGGTGGCATAGCTCTCTGGCGCCCAGGAGATGCACTCTAGCACAATTTAAGAGCATTTTGAGTTAAAAGCCATTGCTCAGCCCGGGTTTTGCTTTGACATGCGAGCAGCATTTTGAGCTAAGAGCTGCCGCCAGAGGGAGCGCTAGCATGAGAGTGCAGGGCTTTAGGGCTTCAAGGGAGCAGCCTCTGGGCCTCGTGTTTTTGACTTCTTTGGAAGATTGCTCTCTGCTTTGCTCTTGTCTGCTTGGAGGAACTTTGCGCTAGTTGACAGAGGGGTGTCCTCTGCGAGGCAGGACACAGCCCCCACCTCTGTTCGTAGCCCACCTTATTTTAACAGATAGTCTCCCAAAGTGAGTGTGCCCAATCCTCTGTGCAATACATACATCCTCTTCCTTGGCTGAGTGCTTGAATGGCTGGCTCTTGTTGCTCCCTCTTTCTCATTCAGGTGCCCCGTGGTGTCATTGTCTTACCTTCCTCGAATGGCCTCTGCCTCTCTCCCTTACGGCGGGCTGGTGTCTGGGACGCTGGAGGGAGCCTGCTTTTGGGAGCAGAAGGGCAGCGGCTCCTATAAGCCCCACCACCTCCTTCTGGAACCGGGAGGATGTATCGACCTCCAGACCGAGGCCAACACACGGCACTGCCTTGCAACGTTCAGGCCCAGTGAGTAATGGCTTAACGCTATTGACTTCTGTATTCACAGAAGAAGCCTTTAAGGCAGGCATGGACCAACTTCAGTCCTCCCTCCAGAAACACAACCAATTTCCAAATGCTAGAGACTTAGCTAACGAGGAGATAAAAGTCCCAAATAAAGGATATGTAGTCAGATGAAGCATTGTTTGGAATCAAGTCAAGTTTTCATTCTTGTACATGGAAGTTTTGCTTGGGAAATTCATGTTTTAAGTGCTTTTGTTTCATGGGTTTGATTCTTGGATTTCATGCAATCTATAATTTGGGAAGCCTTGGGAGAGCGTAGTCCTGAGTACAGCACTGTATTCTGATTACTCTTCCTGTGCTGTAGTCCTCTGCATCGGCCATCTTTCCCTATCCCCTTCATCCCACAGATAGAACCCATAACAGCTTGAGGTGTGTGGTGATGGAGCTGACCTCCACTCAACTGACAGATGGGGCCGAGGATGCCGTCTGCTCCTGTCGTCCAGTCCAAACCCTCACCGCGGGCCCAACATGCAAACTCCTGACTAAAAATGCCATCTTCCAGAGTCCGGAGGACGATGGCAGCATTCTCGTGTGTGCCGGGGATGAAGCGTCCAATTCGGCCATGGTACTTTTCTCCCTTTCTTTAGGAATAAGGGAATCAAGACTTCCTAAAATGCTAGAAGGGGGATCTGCATGTGCGCACATTTCCTTTATGTATTTCCTTAGGGATAATGCAGTGCTTGCTTCCACAGCATGACAAAGAGATAGAAGCGGATCTTTCCTACTATCTTCCCTTATTTCACAAGTGAAGGAGTCTGTTATTGTTGGAACTCAACCACATCCCGCACAAGGTGCTAGACTTAGATAGGCAGATGAAGTTCTCTTTGGCCTCTTTGTGTGCCTGTCACTTTGCTCTCTACTATTTACTTGTTAGACTGATACTTCTCAGGGAGACAACTCCTTTTCTAAGCACATGGCAAGCGCCTCAGTCCTCCTGTGAGCATGGAGAGAGACAAGATGTCTGCTGTGAGTTATTTAGATAGCTAGGCTCTGTTAACTTTATTATCTAGTTATGTAGTTCTTTCAACAAAGCTTGACTCTGCTCCTGAATTGCTTAAGACAGGGATTGGCAAACTTGGTCTCTCCGTGTGGAGCTCAGCCTGTCATTGTATTCCAGGATCAGAGTGCTTTGGATGTGGGGAGTGATGTCAATGAGTTTCAAGATGAGTTTCAAGATGGCAATGGTTTGGTCAGTGATATTGATGCAGAGAATGACCAGGAGATCCCTGTTCAAAGTGTAGTTTCCCATGAGAATGTCCCTGAGGGGTGTGGGGATGATGGTGTGCTTTCTGAATTGTTACCAGAGAGTTCCCATAATAGGGAACATGAAAACAGTTTGGCACCTGGCCCAGCTGCAGAAATTAATGAGCAAATAGATAATGAGCAAATAGATAGACGCGAGGAGATTAGTCAAAACAGGAGAGCCGAACAGTGGCTTCGGCGGTCTGCCAGGCTCCGAGAGAAAAAGATAAGAAATTATCAGTTAAAAAGAAACCCATTTCTGAATGCTAGAGACTCAGCTAACAAGGAGATAAAAGTTCCAAGTACAGGATATGTAGTCAAATGAAGCATCGTTTGGAATCAAGTCAAGTTCTCATTCTTGTTCATGGAAGTTTTGCTTGGGAAATTCATGTATTAAGTGCCTTTGTTTTATGGTTTTGATTCTTTGATTTCATGCTTCTATATTCATGCCTTAGGTTCACATTTCCTGATATTTTGCATTATCTGTGGAAAGTTTTGACTTTGTTTTTATGGACTTTGCTGGACTATTACCCTGGGTTACTTTGTTCCTGCTTATCTTCCTTCCTAACTGGATTTACCTATTTCTTTAAAGTGTTTTTACCTTACTGTTTTTTAATGATCTTCAATAAAAGGATTGTTTTCCATCCAATGGTGTGGTGTTTAAAGTCAGAGGGCTTTTCCTGTCCTGGAGTGCAACACTCCAGGTGTTTTGGACTTCAACTCCCACAATTCCTAACAGCCTCAGGCCCTTTCCTTTTACCCCTCAGCCGCTTAAGCGGCTGAGGGGTAAAAGGAAGGGGCCTGAGGCTGTTAGGAATTGTGGAAGTTGAAGTTCAAAACACCTGGAGGGGCAAAGTTTGCTCATGCCTGCAGAGCCAGCACTTTTTAAACTGGTTTAGTCTCCATGATAAATGCCTGCTTTTCTATCCTGATGCAACCAAAGCAATACGACCACTGGTAGACTTCTCAGTGATTTCTTCCTATGTTTACCCGCAGCTCTGGGACGCAGGGAGTGGCACCTTGTTGCAGAAGCTGGCGGCTGACCTACCCGTGTTGGACGTCTGCCCTTACGAGGTGAACCGCAGCAGCTTCCTGGCAATCTTGACGGAGAAGATGGTGAAAATCTACAAGTGGCAATGACCACCTGGTGCACGCAACCTTTAGGAGATGGTCTCCGAAGAGAGCCATTACATCCCATAAGCCACCTTTGCTACTAAAAGGGCAATTGCTGCCTGAGACAGGAGCAGAGTCAAGTTATTGTTGCGGGACTTCAGGATAACTTACTTCCATCCAGGGTTTTTTTCCCCCTTGATTCAACAACTTAGAATGGATCTTCTGCTTTATTCCTCAGGGCAAATGATGGAACCTGTCCTTGTAGATTTTTGCTGAAAATGGAGATGTTTGGCTCTCTCCTTCTCAACTTTGTGCTCCTCAAGTTGCTTTGTTCAGAAGGCATTTCTGAATTTGGGATCTTTTTCTTGTGGCTCATCTCCTAATCCAGATCCGTAAAAACCTGGTAAATGCATTGTGGAACCAAAACCCACCTCTAGCTTGGCTCAGAAACAGGATTTACATTTCGCTTCTTTGTTTTGAATCCTTGGCTCAAAAACCTGCAGGGAAAGGATGCCTTCTGCTGTGATTGGAAATGGCATCATAATGGAGGGTTCGCCTTTCGCCAGAGACTTCACAATAACCCAAGACTGATCAGAAGACATGTCTGGAAGCCAATTGAAATCCTATTTGTTTGCTTTTTTATACTGTTTGAAAGGATGAGTCTGTACTGAACCACTGACCAGCATTCCTAAAAGTGAACACTGTGGCTATCTTAAACTTTCCAAGCTTATATTGTGCTCTTCATATCTCAAATTTTTTGTACCGTAAAAACACTACAGTGTTTCTTGACCAGTGGCAACACCGAGTCAGACAATGCCAAACCAGTAAACAAATAGACTTCCTAAAAGTCGGGAAAGCTCTTCCCCTTTTGCTGTGAACTCTACTCAAAAGGAACATCCAGCATTTTAGCTTTTAAGAGAGAGCCAGTCGCTTTATATTAAAGTACATGGCACGCAACGTGATGTAAATATCGTAATACGTTTATACTGAGGTTGAACTGCAATGAAACTATGAACAGCTGTATAATAAAGACATTTCTTTTCTGAATGTGCCTGAGATTGCAAAGTGATGCAAATGAAAGGAGAAATTCTTTCTAACAACACGATTTTTGTTCCTGGGTTATAAATGTCATTTCCTCATTGGTTGCATCATAAAAACACGAGAAAAGCTTATTAAGCTGCAGAAACTTTGTCTTTGCAGAAGGGACATCCTACTATGCAACATTTGGCTCTAGTTTTCTATAGATATCTCACTGAGTCTCAACCAAATCAACCTAGTTTGTGCCACAAAAATAAAGTTTCTGGAATAGAATAACTTCTTTCAAAGTAAGGACTGTACAATTAAACAAGAAATAAGACTTTCAAACCAGGAATAGATTTTTTTCAAATTTTGTTACAGAGTGCAATAGATTCTGTATAAGAAAGGAGGCTCTCTTTGTTATTATTATTATTATTATTATTATTATTATTATTATTATTATATTTATACCCTGCTTTATCTCCCGAAAGGTGACCCAAAGTGTCTTGACATAAAAGCACTAGTTTTCTTTCTAAGTTATCTTCCCAAAGGAGGTGTTAGCATTTCCACAGGGTTTTGTTTGTGTTGCATCCATTGAGTGTGCATTGTATCTACCGTGTAATTGTTGCCTTTGTTGTGCGCATTTTGTCTGTATTGAGCATGTGTTGCATCAATTGAGCATGCATTGCACCTACTGTGCATCCATTGAGCATGCATTGCATCTATCATGCATCCATTGTCTTAGCGCACAATCTTTGCCTCTGTTGCACATGCATTACATCTATTACCTGTGTTACATCATTGTCTTATCGCATTGTATCAACCATATGTCTGTTGCCTCTATTGCACATGTGTTGCAGCCACTGTGCATGCGTTTCAGCCACTGCACATGCACTACTCTACTGTGCATGCAGTGCCTCTATTGCCCATGTTTTGCCTCTATTAAGCATGCGTTGCATCTAGCATTCATGTAGTTCATCTAGAATCATAGAATCATAGAATCAAAGAGTTGGAAGAGACCTCATGGGCCATCCAGTCCAACCCCATTCTGCCAAGAAGCAGGAATATTGCATTCAAATCACCCCTGACAGATGGCCATCCAGCTTCTGTTTAAAAGCTTCCAAAGAAGGAGCCTCCACCACACTCCGGGGCAGAGAGTTCCACTGCTGGAACTCTATCTACCGTGTATGCATTGCACATATTGGGCAAGTTGCCTCTCTCATGCACATACAGTGGGGAAAAAGTATTTAGTCAGAATCTTATTTATTTATTTATTTATTATTTATTTATTTATTTATTGCATTTGTTAACCGCCGCTCTCAGCCCTAGGGCGACTCGCGGCGGTGTACAACATATAAAAAACAGTATACAATAGGGCATCACAATATCAACAATTCATTATACACATTAAGCTAATTTACACTAAACTAATCCGCATCGTCACACATAGAATCATAGCCAATCTCATAGACCGTATTCCGTTCCACTTGTCATTACCCATTTGTAAAGCACTCAATTAAATGCCTTTCCAAATAGCCAGGTCTTTAGGCTCTTACGGAAAGCCAAAAGGGAGGGCGCCTGTCTGATTTCAACAGGGAGGGTGTTCCACAGCCGGGGGGCCACCACCGAGAAGGCCCTTTCTCTCCCCGCCAGGCGTGCCTGTGAGGCAGGCGGGATCGAGAGAAGGGCCTCCCCAGACGATCTTAAGGCCCTCGTGGGCTCATAGGCCGAGATGCGGTCTGATAGGTATTTTGTAGGTGCTTGCTTGTTTGTAGGTGACCAAATACTTATTTTCCACCATAATTTGCAAATAAGTTAAAAATCAGACAATGTGATTTCCTGGATGTGTTTTCTCATGTTGTCTCTCATAGTTGAGGTCTACCTATGATATCAATTACAGGCCTCTCTCATCTTTTTAAGTTCACCTGCTTTGTATGGGCAGACCTATGCCAAACAGGGCAGGCATACTCAGCAGTTGAGTAAAACAAAGCTAGGGTTGATGTTCTTACTAATTTTGGGTCTGCACCCCATGTGCTGCCAGTAAGTTTCCGCAGGATGTTGTTGCGTGCAGCTACTTTGTGCTTGGTGTTCAAGCAGTGTTTCCTATATGCTAGTGTTCGATCTAAGGTGACACCGAGATATTTAGGATGGAAACAAGGTGAACACAGCATTAAATGAAACATGCAGAATAATCACAGCGTGTCTTAAACCTACACCTGTTGATAAACTACAAGCTAGCTGGCATTGCCCCCCCTGATGTGCGGTGGGAAGTTGCTGCTAAATGTGAGAGAAAGAAGGTTGAACCTTGTGAAAGCCACCCACTACATGGCTATCAGCCTCCTCCCAGTAGACTCAAATCAAGGAAAAGCTTTATGAGAACTACCACTCAGGAGACGCTTCCTTCTTGGGAGGAGAGCAATGTCCAAACTCGATCAAATACTGAAGAGTAGAGACATCACACTGGCAACGAAGATCCGCATAGTCAAAGCAATGGCATTCCACATAGTCACCTACGGATGTGAGAGCTGGACCAGAGGGAAGGCTGAGTGAAGGAAGAGAGATGCTTTTGAACTGTGGTGTTGGAGGAAAGTGCTGAGAGTGCCTTGGACCGCCAGAAGATCCAACCAGTCCATCCTCCAGGAAATAAAGCCCGACTGCCCACTGGAGGGAAGGATATGAGAGACAAAGTTGAAGTACTTTGGCCACATCATGAGGAGACAGGAAAGCCTAGAGAAGACAATTATGCTGGGGAAAGTGGAAGGCAAAAGGAAGAGGGGCCGACCAAGGGCAAGAAGGATGGATGGCATCCTTGAAGTGACTGGACTGACCTTGAAGGAGCTGGGGGTGGTGATGGCCAACAGGGAGCTCTGGCGTGAGCTGGTCCATGAGGTCACGAGGAGTCGGAAATGACCGAACGAATGAACAACAACAACAACCACTCCTCATGGTGTCCCTCCAGCAACAGCAAGGGTATTCCTCTGGGCAGCTCAACAAGGCAATCCCAATTGGATTGCCCCCCACGAAGGAGGGTCTTCCTCCAGGGCAAACCAAGAATGGGAAGTCCCTGAATAGACTCAGAAGCGGAGTGGGCAGATCAAAAGACAACCTGGCAAAATGGCACTGCTTAAAGAATCCCACACCTTGTGTGACTGTGGAGCAGAACAGACAACTCCGCACCTGTATGCTTGTCCACTATGCCCTGCCTCATGTACAGAGGTGGAATTGTTGGAGGCCACAGACAATGCCGTTGCTGATGCCCGTTTTTGGTCAAAAGATATTTAGCTACCTGCTCACCTTCTCTTTTTATCAGTTTTTGATACAAAATAAATAAATCTTTTTAAGTGGAAGAACTTGTACAATTGGTATATGACTAAATACTTTTTCCCACTGTAAAAGCACAAGCATACAACATAAAATATTCATGTATGCAAACATGAAAACAGAATTAAACAGCACTAAAATCAGCTTTGTTGTTCATTCGTTCAGTTGTTTCTGAATTTTCAACTTTGTCTCTCGTATCCTTCCCTCCAGTGAGCAGTCGGGCTTTCTTTCCTGGAGGATGGACTGGTTGGATCTTCTCGCAGTCCAAGGCACTCTCAGGACTTTCCTCCAACACCACAGCTCAAAAGCATCGATCTTCCTTCGCTCAGCCTTCCCTAAGGTCCAGCTCTCACATCCGTAGGTGACTACAGGGAATACCATGGCTTTGACAAGGCGGATCTTTGTTGCCAGTCTGATGTCTCTACTCTTCACTATTTTATCGAGACTGGACATTGCTCTCCTCCCAAGAAGTAAGCGTCTTCTGATTTCCTGGCCACAGTCTGCATCTGCAGTAATCTTTGCACCTAGAAATACAAAGTCTGTCACGGCCTCCACATTTTCTCCCTCTGTTTTCCAGTTGTCAATCATTCTTGTTGCCATTATCTTGGTTTTTTTATGTTTAGCTGCAACCCAGCTTTTGCACTTTCTTCTTTCACCTTGATTAGAAGGCTCCTCAGTTCCTCCTCACTTTCGGCCATCAAAGTGGTATCATCTGCATATCTAAGGTTGTTAATGTTTCTTCCAGCAATTTTCACCCCAGCTTTGCATTCATCAAGCCCCGCACATCGCATGATGTGTTCTGCATACAAATTAAAAAGGTTGGGTGAGAGGATGCAGCCTTGCTGTACGCCTTTCCCAATCTGGAACCCGTCTCCTGTTCCGTGGCCAGTTCTGACTGTTGCTCCTTGGTCCTTGGACAGATTCCTCAGGAGAGAGGGAAGGGGGCTTGGGATGCCCATCCCGCCAAGAACTTGCCACAATTTATTATGATCCACACAGTCCAAGGCTTTAGAATCGTCAATGAAGCAGAAATAGATGTTTTTCTGAAACTCCCTGCCTTTCTCCATTATCCAGCATCTGGATATTGGCAATCTGGTCTCTCGTTCCTCTGCCTTTCCTAAACCCAGCTTGAACACCTGGCCACTCTCTCTCCATGTCTTGCTGGAGTCTTCTTCCTTGCAGGATCTTGAGCATTCCCTTCCTGGCATGATGAGAAATAAGGGCCACTGTACGGAAGTTGGAGCAGTCTTTCGCATTTCCCTTTTTTGGTATGGGGATATTTGTTCCATCCTTCTAATTTATTTATTTATTTATTTACTTTGCTTATATACCGCTGTATCTCAAGCCCGAAGGCGACTCACAGCGGTTCACAAACAGTAAAAACAGTAGAAACAGCAGTGGTTCCATGCAACATATAACAATTGACTTAACACATTATCCATAAATTACCAATAAGCAATTACAATGCACAATTATTACGAAAAACAACCGTACCCAATCTTCTCATCATCCAAGTGTAGTCCAGGTTCGTCGTCCATTGTTCCATTCCTATGTTCCATTACCAGATTGCACTAAATTACTCAAACGCCTGCACAAACATCCAGGTCTTCACCTTTTTGCGGAATACCATTAGAGATGGTGCTAGTCTAATGTCCGTAGGAAGGGCATTCCACAGCCGAGGAGCCACCACCGAGAAGGCCCTAATATATTGCTCAACACTGGGTTTCTAATTTCCCTAGTTTCTTTTCTCGTAAACTCTAAAAATACATTCCAAATTTCTTCCTTTCAGTTTAAACCCATCGAAACACATTCCAAGTTCTATCTCTTGAATTAAAAACAACACAGAAACGTTGTGGAAGAGCCTGGGAGGGCGCCCTTGAGCCACTTCCCAAGCTAGGCCTAAGCAGCACAGCATCCCAAAGAGAAGAAGGTTGCTAAGCAACGAGGGGGAAGGCGGCGCAGAGCTCTGACGTCACGCCCCTTCAGTTTCCCCCCTCCCTCTGCGGGCGGCGATGTCACTGCGAGTCCGCCCTCCCGCGCGTGCGCACTAGTCGGCGGTGGGCGTGGCCTGAGGCCTGGGCCGGTGGGAGAGGAGTCGCGTCCAAGATGGCGGCGTGCGGACGTGTCCCGGCGCGGAGCCGCGTCCGGGGCCCTTTCCTGGCGCTGCTGCTGGTGGCCCTGGGCCCGGGGAGGGCCCAGCCCGGAGGGGCGGCCGCGGGAGGCTTCGCGGGGCAGGCCCAGCCCCCTCAGCAGGCCGCCATTCAGCAGCAACAACAACAACAGCCACCCCCACAGCCGCCCCCTCAGCCGGGGAGAGGGCCTCGCCTTGGTGGTGGCGGCGCCTCGTCCTCTTCCTCGGGAGGGTGGAAGCTGGCCGAGGAGCCCGCCTGCCGCGAGGACGTGAGCCGCGTCTGCCCCAAGCACGCCTGGGCCAACAACCTGGCCGTGCTCGAGTGCCTCCAGGACGTCAGGGAGGTAAGGCAGAGGGACTTACAGAGAAAACAAGGCCTGGCCCAACTTCGGCCCTCCCTCCAAGTGTTTTGGACTTCAACTCCCAGAATTCCTAACAGCCTACTACAGCTCCCAGAAGCCCCCAGCCTGCGAATGCAGGCTGGGGGCTTCTGGGAGCTGTAGTAGGCTGTTAGGAATTCTGGGAGTTGAAGTCCAAAACACTTGGAGGGAGGGCCGAAGTTGGGCCAGTCCTACTGAAGGACAAGGGAAGGAATCTCCTGAAGAGTTATTATCGGGGCCAGGGATGACTCCTCCTCATCATAGAATATTAATGTGCTACAGTGATATGATCCATCTTCTATCCATCTTACCTTATCTATATAAATAAGAATGTAATGTTCGTTTGTGGGATTAACCGAACTCAAAAAGCACTGGGCGAATTGACACCAAATTTGGACACAAGACACCTAACAACCCAATGTATGTCCTTCACTCAAATTTTTTTTTTGATTTTGTCATTTGGGAGTTGTAGTTGCTGGGATTTATAGTTCAACTACAATCAAAGAGTATTCTGAGCCCCACCAACAATGGCATTGAACCAGACTTGGAACGCAGGTCTCCCATGACCAACAGAAAATACAGAAAGGGTTTGGTCGGCCGTGTCCTTTGGTTTTGGAGTTGTAGTTCACCTACATTCAGAGATCATTGTGCACTCAAACAATGATGGACTCAATACGCCCAAATATGAACACAGATGGAGTTTGGGGGAAATAGACCTTGACATTTGGGACACGCGTTCCTGTGGCCCAGTCTGTTGATCTGGAAAATAAAGTAATGAGAAAGTGTTGGTTTCTAATATATGTAATTTCTTTCTGCTTGTTGATAAACAGTATTTCTTGATGTTTCTTTCTCAGTGTTGATATGCAGATTGTCTGATTTTCCTACTCTGGAACATGCAACATATCACTGTCCTTCTTTAAGGGTCCCTTTCAAATCTATGATACTATATCTCTCTGTTTGTGATCATATCAATCTATCTATATCTATGGCTGGATGGCTCTTTGCCAGGAGGACTTTGATTACGTTTTCTTGCCCTGATGAAGGGAGTTGGATTGGATGGCCTTAAGTATTTACTATTGGTCATAGGGGTTCTGTGTGGGAAGTTTGCCCCAATTCTGTCATTGGTGGGGTTCAGAATGCTCTTTGATTGTAGGGGAACTATAAATCCCAGTAACGACAACTCCCAAATGCCAAGGTCTATTTCCCTCAAACTCCATCTGAGTTCATATTTGGGCATATGGAATATTTGTGCCAAGTTTGGTCCAGATCCATCATTGTTTGAGTCCACAGTGCTCTCTGGATGTAGGTGAACTACAACTCCCAAACTCGAAAAAACAAAAGAACCAATGAACAAAATGTCAATGGCCACCAAATCCTTCTGGTGTTTTCTGCTGGTCATGGGAGTCCTGTGTGCCATGTTTGGTTCAATTCCATCATTGGTGGAGTGCAGAATGCTCTTTGATTGTAAGTAAACTATAAATTCCAGCAACTACAACTCCCAAATGACAAAATCATAATTTTTTGAGTGATGGTCACTCCTTGTGTTGTGAGACATTTTGTTGCCAAATTTGGTGTGATTTTGTTCATTGGCTCTTTTGTTTTTAAGGAACTCATTGTGCACAGAGCATTTTTATATATATAGATAGATAGATTGGCCTGATAGGTCTATTGCTTCCAAATCTGGTGTCCAGTCGTCAAGTGGTGTTTGAGTTATGTTACTCCCACAAAAGAACATTTCATTTATATTTATATAGATCAGGGGTCCTCAAACTTTGTAAACTGAGGGCCAGTTCACAGTCCCTCAAATTGTTGGAGGGCCGGATTATAATTTGAAAAAAACATGAATGAATTCCTATGCACACTGCACATATCTTATTTGTAGTGTTTTTAAGTCCAAAAGACTGTGCCGGCAGGACTGAAGGCTCAAATCCGGGGAGAGGTGGATGAGCTCCCTCTATCAGCTCCAGCTCCTCATGCGGGGACATGAGAGAAGCCTCCCACAAAGATGATAAAACATCAAAAATCATCCGAGTGTCCCCTGGACAACGTCCTTGCAAACGGCCAATTCTCTCACAACAGGATGCTCCTGACACGACAAAAGACACTTTAAAACCATACAATAATTAAAATGAAGAACAGTTTTAACAAATATAAGCTTATTAGTATTTCAGTGGGAAGTGTGGGCCTGCTTTTGGCTGATGAGATAAGGTGGTTGTTGTTGTTGTGTGCTTTCAAGTCATTTCAGACTTAGGTTGACCCTGAGTGAGGGCCAGGTAAATGACCTTGGAGGGCCGTATCCGGCCCCCGGGCCTTAGTTTGAGGACCCTGATATAGATAATGTAATATACGTATCTTAATAGGCAATATAACACTTCATATAAATATATGTGTGCATATATACAGTAGAGTCTTGCTCATCCAGCATTCTGAAAACGTGGTTGTTCCAGTTTGCCCTCCCAGAATAAGGAAACTCCTGGCAATATGTCCCTAAATGCACTTTATTACTGATCTAGGATTGTCTGCACGCCCCATCCCTCTCCGAAAATTCCTATCCTATTTATATTTCACCTGGTCATGCTCAGCATTATTTTAAATTTTTAATTATTACATTTCGCCCAGCCATAGGTTTTTAAATGTTGTTGTGTTATTGTTAATGTTTACTGCTTATTTTCTGTTTATGAGTTTTACTTTATTGTTTTGTATTACTGTTGTTATTGTTTTTACTGATGTATTGTGGGCTTGGCCTCATGTAAGCTGCACCGAGTCCCTTAGGGAGATGGTAGCGGGGTACAAATAAAGTTTTATTATTAATTATTATTATCCAGCGCAGTCCACCTCTCACCCGGATCCACAGCTGTTTCAATACATTGCAATGTTTTGGTGCTAAATTCGTAAATACAGTAATTGCTACATAACGTTACCATGTATTGAACTGCCTTTTCTGTCGATTTGTTGTAAAACATGATGTTTTGGTGCTTAATTTATAAAATCATAATGTAGTTTTGACATTGAATAGGCTTTTCTTTAATTTCTCCTTATTATCCAACATTTTCGCTTATCCAACGTTCTGCCGGTCTGTTTATGTTGGATAAGCAAGATTCTACTGTATATGTGCATGTGTGTGTGTGTTTAATACACTATATACATCTTCATATATAATATAGTATACAACAAGAAGTGAAAAGAATCTTCCCCTTGGAAGGGAAATCCATTCCTAGAAGCATTATTCTCATGGGGGAAAGGGGTCTTCACTGAAGCTTTCTCCCCATTATATAATATTTATGTGATATAGTTATATAATATACTATATACATCTTCATATATGATATACAATATGTATAATAGTTTAAATTATAATATAATGTGTAATATGTATTCATATTGTGACACTTTGAGAAACTCCTGAATAGAGGCATAGACAGCAAAACAAATCTCACAGGGGTGTTAATTCTTCCCCACGCTATCCAAAGCTGGAGTTATACTTTAAAACTGTCCCTGATGTGACTTCTATACAAATTCAGCTAAAGAACAAACCTACAGAACCTATCTTGAAATTTTCACATCACGTTTTGTTTCTGTTAAAGCTTCAGTGGAGCCCCTTTTCCTCATGATAATAACTCTTTCAGGAGGAAATTTCCCTTCCTTCCGAGGGGAAGATTTTATCATATCAGAAGCAAACTCGAGGGAACTGTTGTAATGTTTTTGTTTTTTGTTTTTTTTTAAACACAGAGTTTAATAACTTGCCATTATACTAAATGTTCTTTGACCAGTAGCTGGCCACTCGATGTGCCTCTGGTGTTGCTGTAAGAAGGTTTTCCATTGTGCATGTGGCAGGGCTCAGGCTGCATTGTAGTAAGTGGTCTATGCTCTGCTCTTCTCCGCACTTGCATGTCGTGGACTCCACTTTGTAGCTTCATTTCTTAAGGTTGGCTCTGCATCTGGTAGTGCCAGAGCACAGTCTGTTCAGTGCCTTCCAAGTCACCCCGTCTTCTATGTGCCCACGGGGGGAGTCTCTCATTTGGTATCAGCCATGGCTTGAGGTTCCAGGTTTTAGCCTGCCACTTTTGGACTTTTGTTTGTATCTCTGTAGCTGGCTTGCTGGCTGCTATCCAAACAGGGGATGGGAAACTTCTTGATGTCTCATCCCCATTCTTAACCTGGAGTCATGTAAGTCGGATGTTTGCAACTCGATTGGCATTCAGAAACCTTTTTTCTGTTGCCGAATCAGGACTCTACCATTGATGAAAAGGGGTTGGGACTCACAGTTTAAGAAGCAGTGCTTTAGATGCCCCTTTAGTTAGGTGCAAAGGCATGGGCTGTCATGTGTGCCCAGTTTTCCTGTCCGAACGGATTCTCCCCTATGAACCATCAAGGTTGCTAAGATCTTCTGGAGGGGCCCTGCTCTCGGTCCCACCACCTTCGCAATCATGTCTGGTGAGGACGAGGGACAGGGCCTTCTTGGTTGTGGCCCCTTGGCTTTGGAACTCTCTCCCGATGGAGATTAGATCTGCCCCTTCCCTCCTGACTTTCAGAAAGCTGGTAAAATCTTGGCTCTGGAACATCATTCTCAGAATGATGATCGAGTCAATAACTACTGACCACACTGACGGATGGTGATGAATTTGTGATTTACCTTGACGACTTGGCTTTATGTAATTATTTAATCTGTATTTTAATGTATTTTAATGTATTAACATATTATGATATTAATATGCTTTAGCTTATTTGTGTATGAATTTCCTGTTGTTAGCCAGCTTGAGTCCCTCTTCGGAGGTAGAGAAGACCAGGTTATAAAAGCGCTAAACAAACAAAGAACCAACCTCTTTTACACATGGTATTCCAAGCTAACTGCTGTGTTTTCGAATTCTAGTTGAGATTGGCAATAGGAACCAAGCAAAAATGTTGTCTGCCCAAAGAAGTAACTTTTTTGAATCAGAGCAAAAGGAGTACCTGGTCTGCTTCTT